TTTTTCACTTATGAAAATAGTCAAGATCATTTTTTAATTTAAAGGTTGAAACGAGAAAGACCAAAACTTTAATATTTCAAACCCTAAACTCAAAATTAATCTTTACGGTTGCGGCTGCATCTCAATGTCCACTTGTTAAGTAAAGGCATGCCGTAAGAAACAGTATATTATCATCACAATGTCTTATATATTAATTCCTTACATATATATGGCTTATCAATCTCCATTTTAGTGTATATATATGTAACATAAACTGCTATGATATAAATCCATTTAAGTTTAGTAATATTCACCATAACCAACAATATTTTACTCTTAACAATTGATAAATGGAAGCAGAGATCGACCACATGATTAGAGATAGTCAATGGCCAAATCAAATAAACAAAAACCAATCACAATATCCTGATTTGACACAATCAAATTCACATTTAAAATTAAGAAAACTCTTAATTTATAACTCACAAATGCAATCAAAATATCGAAACTGGTGCAACATAAACTATTCCCAAATCAATCATAACATCATCAGAACCCAAATTAAATTTCATCACGAATTATATTAGATATTTGGATTACAGTATATTAGCTTTCACATTAGACCGGCACCAAGAAACTAACTGACCCAGTTCCTGAAAACTGAGACAATTAATTCCCAAGATCTTACCTAGAATGGAGAGTTAAAATATCAAAAGCTAAAAAAGATCGAAGTAACCCGTTTTTGAATCAAAAGAAACGTTCCTATTTAAATCAAAGCACGATCGTTAGTCAGTAATAAAGAATAAGAAACAAACCCATTTTAAAGAAACCCAAAACAAGAAATTAACATATTCTTTATTTCACCAAAACTACAACAAGTGGAGACATTACAACATCATAACATTCATCCATCTACAAGCTGTTACAAACCCTCGAAAGATTCCTCATATCATCCAGGTTTCCTTGAAGAAAAGGGCAAAAAAAAAAAAAAAAAAAAAAAAAAGAGAAAGACAAAACCCTCTTGAGGTCCAAAACACACTCGAACCATCAAAAGAAAGCACAAAGAACCCTAAAGCTGTCAATGGCACATTGACAACTTGCCTTACCAAAACCCAAAGCAAAGATAAAGCTCGTAGAGATCATAAAACTGCAAACATTTATTCAAACTACAGGGTTTATCAATATACTGAAAACCACAACGACAATACAAAATGAACTCTTCATGATTGACTAACACGGAACGGCTTATGACCAAATACCTTGTTGAAGACGAAAACAGGCTTCTCGAGTTTAATCTTGTACTTGAACTCCCCAGTAACTTCATCTGGTTCCTTGAAAAACTCTACTTTGAATCCCTTTTGGAGGTTTTTTTTCTTAACGAATTTGCGCCAACCAGCCGAAAGCACGGGCTTTTGATAAGTTCCCTTGCGGATGATCAAGTGAAACCTCCACATCTCCCCTTCTTCATCTTCTAAATAGAGAATTTGAAAATTCTGGCCTACAGGGAAACGAGGGAGATGTTGGAGACTGCAAGTTTGCATTGACAATCTGTTATGAATGTCTGTGTTACTTAGTTCCTTTGAGGAGATCTTCATTGGCATCTGCATTCGTACTAAGTCTGGCAAAGGTATGTTATGGATTTTTTTAATGCAATGTAGAAATTTGTAATGGAGAGTGGAGCAGAGTATGGTACAAATTATTTCAACTAGAGAAACAATACTGCTTGGAATGGCCTTTTTATAAAATATCATCAGCAGGTTGTTCTAGTTAGTCCAGGATGGCAGTGGTAGCGGAGGACAGCCATGTGACAGCGGTACTGGTATGTTGGGTATGGTAAATATTTTGATACATTTTGGTTTTGATTAGTATTCTTTGTAAATCTAGAATGTAAGGAGAGGCGTGTAGAATTAATTTTCATGAAACGAGGTTAGACTATCTTGTAGTAAAAAAAAAAAATAAAACTGTTCAGAGTGGGTTAATTTTCAATAAAGACTAATTTAATATAATTAAAAGAAAAAATAATCACCCTAGTGCAAATTTAGTCTCCCTTTGGATTGCTTGTGAAGTAAAATTATCATTAGAGTTATGAGTTTTTTTTAGGGTTATGATTTTAGCACAATGGACCATCCACCTGTTCACTTGCACAATAATATCATTGGTTAGTGATTTTAGTGTTGCAAGATGGTGGTGTCAGCTTGCACGGCAGATTGTGTTGCTGATTTCTAGGGCTTCGTTGGCAAGTGTTGGAAGATCTTTTTAGGGCTTCGTTGGCATCGGAAGTAGTAAGGATCTTTTGAGGGTTTACTGTAATGGTTAGAGAATTTATACTTTCACAATGAAGAGATTTGTTTGAATGACAGCCTCAGAAACTGAGAAAATGAAAGCAGACAGTTAAAAATTCTTATAAAAAAATATACAGTCTGTCCTACTTGTCGTATTGCTATAAGCGGTGAGACTGGAGTGATGAAAATGGTGGTATTTGATTTGTCATAACTGTAAACATTAGTGCATGTGTTGGTGTCCTCGTCTTGTTCAAAAAGCATTGCACCCCAATGAGTGTCACTAGCATCCGTCTGAAGAAGGCGTTTCCCCGAAGAAGGAATTTTCAACGGTTGTGTATGGAAGGATGAGCGCTTGAGACTCTTGACTGCATTTGTCTGCTTTTCAGACCATTCTGAAGGATCAACATCTCTAAGGTCTAGTAATCCATGTGGTATCAGAGCCAAATGGCTTATAGAAGCTATTATTAAATTTATGTCCTTTGTTTTGAGTTATACTTCAATTATTCCTTAATGATGTGACGCCAAGAACATTTGCACCAACAAATCTAGAAAGAACTAAAAAAATTGAAGCCCGCATTGACGAGAGGTATAATGTTTAATGTTAGGGATCAATAAGAACATTTGATGAAGTTAGATTTGATCGAACATATAAAGATCTCTTTGACCATTTATATTACTTCTTCATTGCTAGGGTAGGGACAACATGATACAACTATAAATGTAATTAGACGGTGGAGGACCTAGCAGTTACTAAAATATACATTATTTATGAGATTAATTAACATAGTTTAGAACTATTAATTAGTTTCTTTTATGGTCATGCATACAATTAATGAAAACCTTNAACGAAGCGGGCTTGGCCATGCATTTGCTTAATGATTGATTACTTAAAATAATGATATTTTGACTTATTTATTTATTTATTAATGATTAAAGTCTGGAAATCATAAAAAGAATTACATGAACAATTACGTTTAGTTTGGAAAATATTGTACTGTCCGTGTTATGTTTAGAAAAGTAAGGCTAATACTAAGCCTTCTTAGTAAGAGTGGTCAAAGTTTAGATAGGTTCTACCATCATTTAGATGCAGTCATGTCGCATACTGAAGTGAGTGGTATGTTCCTATAAGTGCAGTGGGTATGCGTCAGGTTGTCGAGAGACTGAAAACGGTTCACATATTCAATCCTTATACAAGTCGAGGAAATCACTTGAGTAAGTGAGCAATAGGACACTGAGAAGGATTTGCACAACATATGTCCCACTCACAGATTTAGTAATCATTACATCAATTCATCTTACTATAAATAGAGGGCTCATCTCCCGTTTGTGAGATTAGCTAATTTTTCCCTGAAATAGCATATTCTCTCTCCCTCTCTTGTATTCTCTTGTATTCTTCAAGCTATAAATCAGCTCGCGGAACGCGATCTGATCTTATACATCAATACAATATCAATGAACGTATGATTCACTTATTTAAACATTCGAACCACTTTAAATATTGTTCTTCATCTCTTACTCAATCCAATACCCTCATATATACGTGTGATTTTTGAGTCTGCTCAGTATTTTTCACGTACGATTAGTTAGTGTCAAAATCTAGCATCAATAGTTGAGAATATTATATTAATAAAAAAATAAATTATCTTCAATATTATTAAAAATATTATATAAAATATATTTGGTTAAATTAGAGTATAAAAATTACTAGGAGAAGTCTTTTATTGAAATGTCCTTATCTTTTAATAATATTATTATTATTAAATATTAACGCTTCTCTTTATAATTAGCGCTTTCTAGATGCTACTACAGAGATCCCACTAGAGACAATTCCATGTTCTTTTGGAGCAAAGCTGTCATTTCTCCCACAATCTACGTACTATCAATTTAGTTATAACCTAGAATATATTAATATTTATTTAATTAGTATAGTAAAATTATGAATCTAATCATCTAATTTTATAATAACTTTTTAATATATATTTTCATATTATCTTAATGGTATTAAAATAATAAATTAAAATTCTAATATTATTTAAACATTAATTATAAAATTAAAAATTAAAATAATTATTTTTATAACTATACTTTTATTACATTATAATTTTCTCATAATAATAAATTTAGTTAACCCAATATTATAAATATAGAAAGGTATTTGATTTGTTAGGTGAGCAGCTGTAAACATTACTGCATGTGTTGGCGTTAATATTGTACTATCACCATCACTTCATTAATTACTAAATCAGCAGTCTTTAATTAATTAAATAGGGAGAACGACATGTTTCCGCCCAAAGTTTAGCGAAACGATCATTTTTCACCCATCAAGTTTCAAAACGATATTTTTTCACCTATAGTCCGTTAACTTTAACTAAAACAGGATAGAATAGTAAATTTAAAAACCAGATGAATGGTATTTATGTCATTTTATCTCTTATACATAAACTTTTGAAAAAAATACCCTGAATCAAACGCTTCCTTCCTCACCCCAGTGCCGCTCTCCACAACTTTTCCTATCAATGCCATTATCGGTCAAGCTCTCACCTATGCTTAGTTCATCTGCCAAGTTAACTCTCTCTCCTTCTCACTCAAGACACACTATTCTCTGCCAAATGATATCACTTTCATCATTTCCCCTCCCCCACCAATTGCCCAGATCTGGCATTATATTGTTGTTATTTGGGAAAATCGGTTGTTTTTTGTTTATTGAATTGTTGGGGAATTGATGGGATCAGAGAAGCGATGGTAAAAAGGGAATCGCACCAGATCCGCGTCGATTTGGCCGGATGCGATTTGGTCGCCAAGGTATTGGAAGCTCTTTTCATGAGAGGTCATGTTGAGGAAGCCCTTGGACGCATTGATCTGCTAATGCACAATGGTTGTGCACCCAATTTTGGTAGTCTTCTATATATTCTGTCTGAGAAAGGGAAGACCGTTGTTGCTCTGAAGTTGTTGTATGTCAAAGAGAGTAGTTTTGCCTTTTTATCTCCCTTTCTAATTTTAGTGTAGTTTTTCAAGTAGAGAACCTTTGCTTGAAATTTTTAGTTTGAGAATGATTCGAAGAGCTCCATCTTGATCAGAATAACTTGTGGAAATCATATTGTCATTTGTTCAGAATTTGAAAGGTGTAACACCGCACTAATCATCTTACTATACCGCATGAAAGTTTTGCTTCATATTTCTGAAAATCCAGTTCTATGTTCAAGCTTCTACAATCATTTTAACATAAATATTTTAATACCATTTGCAGCTTTGGAAAGGATGATTTGTTTTTAAAATCAGTTTTTTGTTGCAATGTTAATATTGTAACACAATCTAGTGAACCTAAAGCAAAGTCAGGCTTCCAGGGTAAGGTGCAAATCAGCAGCCTCTTTTGCGAAGGAGAAAGAAGAAAAAAGAGAAGGGTAGTTTTGTTTTTACACTGTTTACAAATGTTAAAGACCCCATTTTCATGACGGAACATAACGTAGCTGGAAAAGTGTCTTTTCGTCGAACCTTGGGTGGGAGCATGTCGGTCTCCCAATTAAATATAAAAGTTTTGACTCCACCCTCGTGGTCGTGGTTCTGTCTTGCTGCGCTGTAGAAACATTTTATAATTAGAGAATATGCTATCTTGTCTATATTATCGTTAGATGCAATAATTTTTCCATAATAATTTTATAACAAAATTTATTAATTTAATTTAATAATATCCATAAAGTCCAATTCCATTTATTCCTCATCTTGTTTATATTATCGTTAGATGCAATAATTTTTCCTTTGTTTTTTCTTTTATAAAAGAATTTTCCCTCTTGGTCGTTAAGTTTTTTTTTTTTTCTTAAAAAAAATTAAAAGACTTAACTATATTACAGTATTGTATTAATATGCTATCTGTATGAATTATCCAAAGATTTTGTGTTTAAATCCTACAAAGTGATTGATTTATCTACACATTAAATCTATAGGATGTTCAATAGATCCTGAAGATTAGTTGAAATTCATCCAAACTAATCCAAAAAGACTTTGATTATTAAAAAAAAAAACATTGTATCATTATCTAATAGTAATTTAAAATTTTTATTCTAAAATGTATAAAATACATTTTTACAATATTAATTTCATAATAGTTAAACCCGTCATTTTAATTAAGTAAAAAAAAAAAAAAAAGAAAAAGAAAAAGAGGAGTAATACAGCACGTTACGGGATCTTTCCTGTATTTGGCGGCTAATCACTAGTGTATTCTTTTAGACTCGTTCCTCTTGAGTCACGATCGGGTTTCCTTGCCGCACCGTGTTGGGTGGAACAATCCATAGGAAAAAATATTTAATATTTGTTAACTAACCTTTTGAATACGACTGGTACGGATTTTAGTGAACTGCTAGCTCCTCCATCGTCTAACAGCCTTTGTAAAGTTCACTTGTACTTATAGTATTATTGTTGTTTAACAGCTGTAGCCTGTAGCATTTGACGTAGATAATTCCAGTTCCTTGGAACAAAGTTATCTACTCTTTGTCATTTCTGTCAGTCAACTACTTCCCACAATCCACATGCCATCATTAACAAAAATTTATAAATTAGTCGAAAAATGTCAGATTTATAGCCAAAATTTGACCGTTTTCGATCATATCCATGATAGATTTAATCAAAAAAGACAAAATCGATACATGACCGATCAAATCTAACTAGCCGTACATCATTCTGGTGACTTTCAACCACTGTCCAACAGTGGTAAACTGGCTACAGGCAAAACGTTGAGTGAATGGAGTGTTTTTGTTAATTTTAAAATTTTTATTGAGAAAAATAATTGTTAAATATTTTGAGATGAATATAATATAATTGGATTTTGACAAACATTAAAACCAACTTATTTTCTTATTTTTTAGGATAAGGTAATGGAATAAAATATGATGAGAATAGCTAAACAAACCAAGCCATAATATATAATTTTTCAGCAAACCTATGATAAGCCACATTAATGTGCTGAAGCCTGAAGCTAAATAAAAGGATTCGGACTTGCACAGGAAGCCCAAAATTGCATAGATAAAATACATAATGTTTTTATCCATGTTAAATAATTATCGACAACATATAATTGAAGGAATGTATTAAATAATTATCAGATTTATTTTCTAAAACCGTTTATTCTTTCGTGTTATATGGCCTTTCTCATATCAAAAGACGACGTTATTTAATTCCAAGATTCGAGTTTTCTTTGTTTAAAATCTCCTCTCCATCATGACCTTTTCTTTGTTTGACAGCCTCTCACATGTCTACTACATTTAGCCCATTGGCCCATAAGGTTTTGTCGTTAAATGGCCCGTTAGCCCATAAGGTCTCATATGGTTGAATGGGCCATTAGCTCATTTAAGCCCCCACATAAACTCTATTTGACCCCATTAAAACACTATTATACATACAAAATTACTACAGAAAAGTTTTGAGTGAGGCCTTCTTGTAATTTTGATTTTGGTTTAGAATTTTGGTGTTTAAGTCTTATGCAAGGTATTCTTCCAAGATATGACAAAGATAAAATAATAAAACAGCCGCCCACAAATTGGCAAATTAGAATTTTGAAGCATAAAACAACACATATTTATTTATTTTTTTTAAGAAAAAATAGAACTCAACATATTAATAATAAGGGAACAGTCAAATCTAGTCATCGTTGATTGCCATATCTTGGTAGTCGTTGATGAACAAATGACGGCTAAGGTATGGTTGTTGTCAACAGTTAGATCTGGTCGTCAATGACCTGATCTTTGACTATAGATTTGACTGTTTCCGGTAAGATCTATGGTGAATCTGGCCGGTAACGAACATACTGGCGTACGACCGACCAAATCCATCTAGTTGTGCATCATTACGGCAGTAATGACGGTGGCTATTGTGGGGTGATAGTGGCTTGGGTGGGTAGAGATGTTTTTGTTAATTTTAAAACTTTTATTGAGAAAGATAATTGTTAATGTTTTAAGTTGAATATAATAAGATTAAATTTTAAAGAATATTAAAACAAATGTATGTTTAGTTTTTAGGATAGGATGGCGAGAAAATAGTGTGCCAAAGACAGGGAAAGATTTAAGCTCTAAAGTGTGAGATTGTGCTTACTCATAAGATGAAGGGAGTTGCGTTAAGCCGCCAAATGGACACCAATGAACTCCAAGACTGCAAAACCTAATTAGACATCGCAGTAAAAATGTTGAGTCATGTAAAGTTCAATAATATCGTTTTCTTGTTTTCATAAACCCAAACACATATTTTACACATACATTCATTGAAGAACAACTATGTTGTTTCATTTTTCATAAAGTTCAATAATATCGTTATGAATATCTTTTATGATTTTCTTTTATTGGTTCTCAATTTCCTCTTAAAAATATTAAAACAAACATATTTTTTATTTTTTAGGATAGAATAATAGAATAAGATGAGGTGAGAATAACTAAAAAAACCAAACCATAATATATAATTTTTCAGCAAGGCGATGACAAGCCACATTCATGTGCTGAAAGCCTGAAGCTAAATAAAAGGCTTCAGACTTGCACAGGAAGCCCAAAATTGCATAGATAAAATATGTAATGTTTTTATCCATGTTAAATAATTATCAACAACATATAATTGAAGAAATGTATTAAATAATTATCATATTTATTTTCTAAAACTGTTTATTCTTTCATGTTATGTGGCCTTTCTCATATCAAAAGAAGACGTTATTTAATTCCAAGATTCGAGTTTTTTTTTTTGTTCAAAATCTCATCTCCATCATGGCCTTTTCTTGGTTTGACAGCCTCTTACATGTCTCCTACATTTAGCCCATTAGCCCATAAGGTCTCATGGTTGAATGGGCCATTAGCTCATGGGGTCAGAGTTACCAAGAAGTGATGATATGTTCTTCCTCTGATCCTCTCTTTACCTTTTATATTGATCCTAATCATTTGTTACTGAATTTAATTCTACCCATATTCCCTGCAAAAGCAGCCCCTACCGCCACCACCCCCACCGTGAAGCCCCCCTTCCCTCAGTCCTTGCTGGAGCAACGATTTACTCATATGATTGCTTATTGTATGTAAGGTGGTTTGAGTTGATATGGATTGGTTGGGAAGGGGCGATGGTTGGGGTTTGGGTTTGGACTACCGTGGGTAAGAGATTAGGTGAAAGTGGGGTGGCATCCTTGCGGCTTGTTTTGCTCTTGAGAGTAAGTTGTTCAGGTCATTAAATGATGTTAACAAGGGCCAGGGATCTACATGGGAACATATGTGCAACTGGTGCGAGCTTTAGATAGGACCATAGAGGAGGAAAGTAACCAAGTTTTGGATGAAAAAATTGGTACTTATCTGCATTCTAGTGCCTTGGCAGTTATGCCCAAAAGCTTGATCTGAAACAATATGCCGGAAGGCTCATAAAGCTTTTCAAAGGCCTTGAAGCTTTTGATCGTAAGCCTCCGGAGAAATCAATTGTGCAAAAGTGGCAGATGTGTATGAATATTAGCTTACCAAAGAGAAAAGAGGGTACTAGAGAAGTACAAAGATCTCTTCACCAAGACAGAGAAAGAAAGCCGAAAATCTAAGCAGCATCTAAGAAAAACATGCAAAACAAAGCATCGAAAAGACACAAAATTTCTGATGGTGTTACAGAAGCTTTAGATGACATACAAGGTCAGATTACTGTGATATCTTTTTCTCTGTATTAGAATCTGGATAATCTTTCTTCTATATGATCCTGGTCCAATTGTTAATCTCAAATATATGTCATGGTTTGGCAGACCAAAAATACAAATCTACAAAGAGAAAGGATGTTTTCGATTGCCATTTACCAGATACTGCTAAATCTGCCCCAGAATTGGTCTTCCTTGAGAGTGTAATGTCTGCAATTTACAGTTTTCTCAACTCTTTACAGGTTACATTACATAACGCACTTGTTCTGTCTTTCTCTGATTTGGGTTAGTTTCAAATATAAAGAGTGGAGCTCAATGTTTCTAATGCTTGTTCTGATGTTCTAATCTGTTTTATGGCTAGTAATGTAAATCAGTTGGCCTGAAAATTTAATCTATTGGAGATACAAGAATTGGACTCAATAGTATAACTTAAATTTTTGAATACCATTACTTAAATTTTGTTTTCACATCTAAATTTATTTTAGGAAAAAAATAATATTTTAAGATTTTGTTTCCTGAAAATAAAATTTTATATAAGTAATGTTTAAGATAAAAATTTGAGATAAGTTTAGCTTTAAATAATAAAAAATATCTGATGCAGGACTTTATTTAGTAACTCTGTCACCACAGGCATTCTTTTCATTGATAAATGTATTTCTTTTATTCTTGTGTGTTTGTTGTATACAAAGACTGCTCTATTTATACAACTCAAAGAAGAAATGCTAAGAAGGTAAGAAGATATACAAGCTATAAACTGGTAATCAAATAAAAAAAATATTCTTGCCAATATCTTGTTGATATGAAGATCAATATCTTTGATCATAATCCTTCCAGAAGATGGACTTGCCAATTCTCTCCCATTCCAGCTCACGCCAACATAAGCTATTTTCCTAATTTTCATTAGGAATTTAGTTTATTTTCCATTTATGATTCTTTGTTTAGTTAGGATTTTTTTCCAATTTTATAATTCCTTATTTGAGTAGTATTGGATTTTTTATTTTATTTTAATTATTTTTTCCTAGTAGAATTAGGATTAGTCTATTATAATTTATAAATGGGTTGTTATGTTATTATAAAGGTTCACTTGGAAGCCTTTGTTGTGATTCAAGAAGCCTCTTTGCGGATTCAGATAGTGGACTAATAAGTAAGTTGAAGTCTCTCTCTCTCTCTCTCTCTCTCTCTCTACTTTTATCTTACTGAATTGAATTTGTTTGTTTGTTTTGTGTGTGTTGGTGTGGTGCGTTTTGAAGTCAGAGATGTTGTCGTTGCGAAAAGCATTGGTGTTTCTTATACTTCAGTTTCTCGAAGATGAGAAATTCGAGGAGTCTCTTCACAAGTAAGCTTTGCGGAGAACATTTTGTGTGTTTGTGTTGTTTTGTTTAATGGATAGTTTTACGCAAAGACAAAATTTAGTGTATTAATTACATTGCAATTTTTGCAATTTTTTATCTTTTAATAATTTTTTATGTCCCTGAACACGTCCCATCATCTGTAGATACACATTAAGAGAATTGTTTAATGGCACAATTCTTGTGTTTATAGATGAATTATTATAAATGAATTATGCTAGCCTAGGGACTCAAGGGAACCTCCTTTGTCAAACAAAATTTTAAAAGTTGGCAAAATCTGAATAGTGTTGGGTTTGTTTGGGTGGAGAGTGTTCTTTCCTTAGCAAATTGATGTTTTGGTTGAAAATTATTTAATTGGAATTCCATATTTAATAAAGGATGTTACTTTCCATGTTTTGATAGGCTTGAAAAAGAATCAGGGTTTTATTTCAACGTGAAGTACCTCTACGAGAAAGTTCAAGCCGGAGATTAGGTTGAAGTTTGTAAATACTTGTCAGGATTTACCAAAATTGATGATAACCAAGATTCTATAAAGATATTTTATTAAATTAGGAAGCAACAGTATCTTGAAGCACTTGATAGGTAGAAGTAATTTGCATTTATCAGTGTAAGTTTTTTATAGTTTTGTCTTTATTTTTAAGGTATCAATTTTTTTTGCCTTAAATTATACTATAGGCGAGACAAGGCAAAGGCACTTGCAATGTTAGATAATGAGTTAAAAGTGTTTTCAACATTGAATGAGGAAGATTACCAAGAACTTACACAACTTTTAACTCTGAACAATTTCAACTAATTTTTGTTGGTTTTCAATTTTCTCTTAAATAATGAACTATAAATTGAAATTTTGAATCAGTTTACGATCAATTTGCTTGAGTAAATGCAATAGTCACTATTCAAATTTTAAGTGTTGCTAGTTCGACTTGAGTTTATGACACTTTGGTGTGTGAGATCAATTCAGGGAAAATGAGCAGCTGTCCAAGTATGACACCAAAACAGCTCGTAGCATACTTTTGATAGAGCTCAGAAAACTGATGGAAGCAAACCCACGTTTCCGCAATAAGCTTACTTTTCCCACCCTAAAGGATTCAGGATTGCAGTCTCTAATGAATGGGTAAAGTAATACAATACATGATATAATACAATTATGTTTTTTTCTAATTTCCATCTGGTTTTGCCATAAATGATCAATTTTTTTCNTATGAGAAAGTTCAAGCCGGAGATTGGGTTGAAGTTGAGAAATACTTGTCATGATTTACCAAAATTGATGATAACCAAGATTCTATAAAGATATTTTATGAAATTAGGAAGCAAAAGTATCTTGAAGCACTTGATAGGTATAAGTAATTTGCATTTATTAGTGTAAGTTTTTTATAGTTTTGTCTTTATTTTTGAGGTATTAATTTTTTCTGCCTTAAATTATATTATAGGCGAGACAAGGCAAAGGCGCTTGAAATGTTAGATAATGAGTTAAAAGTGTTTTCAACATTGAATGAGGAAGGTTACAAAGAACTTACACAACTTTTAACTCTCAGCAATTTCAGGTAATTTTTGTTGGTTCTCAATTTTCTCTTAAATAATGAACTATAAATTGAAATTTTGAATCAGTTAATGATCAATTTGCTTGAGTAAATGCAATAGTCACTATTCAAATTTTTAAGTGTTGCTAGTTCGAATTGAGTTTATGACACTTTGGTGTGTGAGATCAATTCAGGGAAAATGAGCAGCTGTCCAAGTATGACACCAAAACAGCTCGTAGCATACTTTTGATAGAGCTCAAAAAACTGATGGAAGCAAACCCACGTTTCCGCAATAAGCTAACTTTTCCCACCCTAAAGGATTCAGGATTGCAGTCTCTAATGAATGGGTAAAGTAATACAATACATGATGAAATACAATTATGTTTTTTTCTAATTTCCATCTGGTTTTGCCATAAATGATCAATTTTTTTCTTTTTTTAAGTCATTCATTATGCTTAACATGAAGCCTACTTATGAAGTATTCCTTTTTATTGTTCTGTTAGTTTCCTATAAACTGGAGCCGTGTTTCCGCCTTTTTGCTGTATGTTTCTATGAAAAAGTTGGAGCCAAATTTAATACATGATCTTTGATGCAGTTTAAACTGGCTGCACCTGTTCGGCAAGAACCCATGGGCAAAAAAGAACCCAAGGCCAGAAAAGAACCCAGGGCTAAACCCTGACATTAAGACTGAGTTTACTGACGATACATGTACACCTCCAAATGGTCCTCCTGTTGCAGCAGATGCAAAGCCAGCTTCTTCCAATGTATGATAATTCTCCACCTCCTTATTATTTAAGTAAATATTAACCATATTGGAGGAGCAAATATTAAAAATATTGACTAATGCATATTCTTGCCAATATCTTGTTGATATGAAGATCAATATCTTTGATCATAATCCTTCCAGAATATGGACTTGCCAATTCTCTCCCATTCCAGCTCACGCCAACATAAGCTATTCCTAATTTTCATTAGGAATTTCGTTTATTTTCCAATTTATAATTCCTTGTTTAAGTTAGGATTTTTTCCAATTTTTATAATTCCTTATTTGAGTAGTATTAGGATATTTTTTATTCTATTTTAATTATTTTTCCTAGTAGAATTAGGATTAGTATATTATAATTTATAAATAGGGTTGTTATGTTATTATAAAGGTTTACCTTGGAAGTCTTTGTTGTGATTCAAGAAGCCTCTTTGCGGATTCAGATAGCGAGACTAATAAGTAAGTTGAAGTCTCTCTCTTCCTCTCTTTCTCTCTATTTTTATCTGACTGAATTGAATTTGTTTGTTTGTTTTGTGTTGTTGTTGTGGTGCATTTTGAAGTCAGAGATGTTGCCGTTGCAAAGAGCATTTGTGTTTCTTATACTTCAGTTTCTCGAAGAAGAGAAATTCGAGGAGTCTCTTCACAAGTAAGCTTTGCGAAGAGCATTTTGTGTGGTTTTGTTTAATGGATAGTTTTACACAAAGACAAAATTTAGTGTATTAATTACATCACAATTTTTTCAATTTTTTATCTTTTAATAATTTTTTATGTCCCTGAACACGTCCCATCATCTGTAGATACACATTAAGAGAATCGTCTAATAGCTCAATTCTTGTGTTTATATATGAATTATGCTAGCCTAGGGACTCAGGGGAACCTCCTTTGTCAAACAAAATTTTAAAAGTTGGCAAAATCTGAATAGTGTTGGGTTGGTTTGGGTGGAGAGTGTTCTTTCCTTAGCAAATTGATGTTTTGGTTGAAAATTATTTAATTGGAATTCCATATTTAATAAAGGATGTTACTTTCCATGTTTTGGTAGGCTTGAAAAAGAATCAGGGTTTTATTTCAACGTGAGGTACCTCTATGAGAAAGTTCAAGCTGGAGATTGGGTTGAAGTTGAGAAATACTTGTCAGGATTTACCAAAGTTGATGATAACCAAGAATCTATGAAGATATTCTATGAAATTAGAAAGCAGAAGTATCTTGAAGCACTTGATAGGTATAAGTAATTTGCATTTATCAGTGAAAGTTTTTTATAGTTTTGTCTTGGGTATTAATTTTTCTGTCTTAAATCCATATTATAGGCGAGAAAAGGCAAAGGCCCTTGAAATATTAGAGACTGATTTAAAAGTGTTTTCAACATTGAATGAGGAAGGGTACAAAGAAATTACACAACTTTTAACTCTCAGCAATTTAAGGTAATTTTTGTTGGTTCTCAATTTTCTCTTAAATAATGAGCTATAAATTGAAATTTTGAATCTTTTTATGATCAATTTGCTTGAATAAATGCAATAGTCATTATTCAAATTTTTAAGTGTTGCTAGTTCGACTTGAGTTTATGACACTTTGGTGTATCAAATCAATTCAGGGAAAATGAGCAGCTGTCCAAGTATGACACCTAAACAGCTCGTTTCATACTTCTTCTAGAGCTCAAAAAACTGATAGAAGCAAACCCATGTTTCCTCAATAAGCTTACTTTTCCCACTCGGAAGGATTCAGAATTGCAGTCTCTAATGAATGGGTAAAGTGATACAATACAGTATATTTTTCTAATTTCTATCTGGTTTTGCCATAAATGATCAATTTTTTTCCTTTTTTAAGTCATTCATTATGCTTAACATGAAGCTTGCTTATGAAGTATTCCTTTTTATTGTTTGTTTGTTTCCTATAAACTGGAGCCGTGTTTCCGTCTTTTTGCTGTATGTTTCTATGAAAAAGTTGGAGCCAAATACCCAGTATTTAATACATGATCTTTGATGCAGTTTAAACTGGGTGCACCTATTTGGCAAGAACCCATGGTCGGAAAAGAACCCGAGGCCAGAAAAGAACCCAAGGCTAAACCCCGACATTAAGACTGAGTTTACTGAGCATACATGTACACCTCCAAATGGTCCTCCTGTTGCAGCAGATGCAAAGCCAGCTTCTTGCAATGTATGATAATACTCCACATCTTTATTATTTAAGTAAATATTAACCATATTGGATGAGCAAATATTAAAAATATTGACTAATGAATATTTTTTTGGGTATAGCCTAAAATGGGAATTTGGCTAACTCCCGAACATATCAATCAAAATGTCAAGGCCTTGAAGAAGGCACGGGATAGGGAACTTGAGGAACAAAAGTTGTTACTGAAAAATCTAGAATATCTGCATGGCATTATTAAACTAGACTGTATGAATGGCCAGGACTTCGCTTCTATGCAACTTGATGAGGTAGTTTTCTGCAGATCTCATTAGCTAAATTCATGTTTTCACTAGTATTCTTATTTACTTCATTTATGTTTTGGTTTTGATTTTGCAGTTACGTGCGATTTTAGAGAAGCTTGTGAGGCACGGTTCTAGTAACGTCCGAGACAAGGCCATATATATTAGTCAGAAGCTTGATGCAAACCAAGGAGCTGGACAAGCCGATCATACATATTGGAATGGAGCTGAATTTGCACAAGACTCTTTCTCACTTCCTAGTGGCCCAATTACAAGACTTAGAGCCAAACGTTTCAAGGAAACTAAATGGGCTAATCCAAGAGAATTGGACTGATTCTAAAAAGACCAAGATGGGCTCAAATAATAATCAAAGCTTAGTCCATGTCATCAAAGCAATTAAAGAGGCTAATTAGCATGCAAAAACGTGACCACCATGGTCTGACCATTAAAGGGCGTGAATTTGTTGAGTTTCAAGGATATTAAATATGGGAATGCTGATGGTCTTGGCTGGTTATGTTAAATACATTGAATTTAGTCATTTAGTTATTTGTTTGGTTGCCTCTAGAAGTCCATAAGGCCTAAAAACGTGGGGACTTGTTTATGTTGATGTTTGTGTTGCTTTTAAAGTTGTAGTTATGACTTTTCCTATTCTTGGAGGGTTGTTCCAAGTATATAGATGGGCATTACAAATTTTAATAGATAGATTTGGTTTTCAGAAAATTATTATTATTGTGAGGTCTTGTGTTCCTCTCCGTTCTTGAAAGAAATCTTGAACTTATCAAGTTAATTTTGTGGCATTCAAACAATCAAACTTATTACCTTAATTCTTGAGAGATTCTTAGGTTTCTTGGTGTGATGTTTAAATTCTTCATAGTCTTGGTTTTCACCTAGTTAATTAGGTGATGGGTCAAGGCTCAACAAATCTTGTCTACACGATCTTGGGCTTCCAAACCATCATTGTAATTCGGTTTCATCACAATTGTTGGTAGAGTTCATATCAAAGCTAAACCCAATGCTGTTGGATTTACTACTTAATTTTTTAGGGAATAATATAAAAACTAAAACTATGATCAGAACAATGTCATCAGCAGGTTGAACAATATCATTATATAAAAAATAATGAGGGTATTTGTTTAATTAACATTTCATAATCAGTTTTTCATTTTCATTAAAATAGTGAACCCGGTTGGTTTATAATTGTCAAGTCCACCTTAAATTTGAATTTTGAAGCGAATGGATTCATGAATAGTTTCCTGGGTGAGATATCTTTATTAGTCGGGTTATCAATGACCAAATGCATTCATATATTTACAATTGAAAATTAACACCTTCTTCATTTATTTCATATTCTCTAAATCTTCACCATTTTGGAAAGCTATTATGCATGTATGCATCGCTAAATCTTTGCAAACCACTACATGGTGAAAAAGCAAAAAGAGTTTCTCCAAGCTTTTAAGTTTGAGTCCCCCTAGGCACTAATAGGAGTAATCACTAGAGGATTAACCGGTCAGACTTTCAAAGTCCTGGGAGATTAGTTGAAGTGTGCATAAGCTAGTCTAGACACCCCCGATCATTAAAAAAAAAAAAAAAAAATTGTTCTATCTTTTCAGTTTACCACCTCTTATTGTGTTTGCTTTCTTACTGCAAATCTCATATTCAATGATGCAAGAGATCTATTTTGGAATGGTTGTATTAGTGATTCCATTAGGAGAAACCGGTGGAAAATCCATCTCCCCTTAATCCTTAAAGTTTGAATCTGTTATTAATCTCCCTTACTTCCTCACTGGTATGTTAATGGAAGACCAAAGTTTAAAAATACGTGAGCTAGGATTCATGGGTTTGTTTGAGAAACAAAGTAGATAGAGATTTGGAAACAAATTATTGGGCTAGGTTATGTCTTTAGTAGTGTATTGAATGTGGTTGTTTAATTTTATGTTTATCTTCAAAATGATTGAAAATTGTTAGGTTATAAGAAATCTGAAAACAATTACTGTTTACATTTTTTTTTTTTTTAAGAGTAATACTAGATGTACAACCCAATCTCATAACTTCTCTCACGACCCTCGACGTGGCAGCTCATAATTAGTCAACTCACAAATGAGTCTAGGATGATTATTTGTCAACTGGCCAGTTGCGAACTGTCATGTCGGGAGTTATTGACTTAATATTAGTCTTTTTTTTTTTTTTTTTTTTTTAATTATACCATTACTTGTGTAACGTTATCAATTCAATAACATTATTGACACGACTAATGACCCTCCTGCCGACACAGCTAATGACACGACCCTCCGGCTCCTAGGAAGATTTCTTAGGGTCCTGTTGACATGGCTTATGATCCTCTTGTAGCAGATCCATATCTTAGAGATTTGAGGTGAGAGCTTTAAGATTTTAATTCTCATTAGCCAATCTAACCGAATGTTTCATTTTCATGGGCATGTTAAAGTGATAATCAAATATAGATATTTTACAGTCCCTTTTAGTTATTTTTTATATGGTTATGTGAAAAAAATTGATACGCTTGTTCTGGACAACTTAATGATTAACCTAAGAAAACAAAAAAAAGATTGGTATAGAATTGGAGGACCAAGAAGTTTTTTCCCTTATTATTGTTTTTTATATTTTCAATTCATCGTTTTTTCTCGTAAATGGTTGAGAGATGTTATTAAGTAATCCACTTTGATTTGACAACCATATTCTTATAACAATAATGACGTATGCGTTTGGTTTATTATTTTAGGTAGGATTTTGGGGATAGTATTGGATAATTGAATATGGGAGTATTACGAGGTAAAATTTAAAAATTTATAGAAAAACCCCCTAAGTTTGCTAATTTCATAATACCCCCAACATGTAAATTGACAAAAATACCCCCACCACCTGCAGTGCCAGATTCTGGCCACCACCGCAGGAATCTGGCCGGAAAATCGCGTTACGACACAGACCGGTAGGATCTGTGTCGTAACGAGTCGTTATGGCCTTTTCCGGCCAGATCCACCACAGATCTGGCCGGAAAAGGCCAGATCTACGGCCTGCCGTGGCCGTCGACGGCCGAAAAAGGCCAAAACGATGGCCATCTTTGGCCGTCGTTTTCGGTCAACGATGGCCATTTCTTTGGCCGTCGTTCACGGCCAGATCTGGCCTTTCCCGGCCAAATCCGTGGTGGATCTGGCCGGAAAAGGCCAGATCGGTGAACTTCCGGCCATTTATGGTCGGCAGGGTGGCCGTTGTATAGATTTCGGAATCTGGCGAGTATGGGTTGCGGGGGTGTTTTTGATAATTTTTAAACTTTTTTTTAGGGTGTATTTGATGAAATTAATAACCTTATGGGGTCTAAAAGTAATTAAAAAAAATAGGGTAATATTCTCGGAATAGTAAGCCAAACGTTATTTGGAGAATAGGATCCAGAATCTGGATAAAAATAGTAAGCCAAACATAGTGGACATTATCTTGCTTGAACATACATTACATAATATTTGTAATTCAATCATTTTTATTAAATTAGTTATTAATGTTATTGATTTGATATTACTGTATGATTACATTCTTAATGTAGTATTGATAAAGCAATCATAAGATAATGTATTATAATACAAAAATACTACCTCCTTTTTTTTTTTTTTTTACCAGGTGTGTCCATACCAACTTACGCGCACCTCAATTAGTCTTCCGACCTCGAATAAGACTTCCAAAACATAGCAAGCCCTACTGTCTATAACCAACAATATTAGCAATTGTTCTTGTGATTCGAACTTGAGACCACAGGAGAAGTAAACCCCTTAGCACCAAGCCTTTACCATTCGGCCAACCTATTGTTGGTTCAAAAATACTATGTTTAAAAATCTCTTCTCACAAACTTTCTCTCACAATTCCGACATGATGCGTAACTCACGATTGGTCAGCTCATAAATAGGTCTAGCCTTCTTGTTGTGGGTCTCGTCTGTCTATTTGTGAGCTTACCAATAACAAGTTACCATGTCGGAGTTATGAAAGAAAGATTGTGAAAAAAAGTTATAAACTTAGTATTACTTATTATAATACAAGGTTTTTGGAAACTATTTTGTTTTATGAAAAACGCCAATTTGTTTAGGATCTACAAAGAATATTATAATTGTTTTTATACACACTATTAAATTAATAGATTTGGGGTTTGAATAAATGCATACACATTTATTGTTTAGATATAAATATATGGTTGAATTTGTAGCATAGTTTTAACTAATAGATATATTGATGAGTTTGGTAGGTTTACAGAATACATTTTTTCACTTATCAAAATAGTCAAGATCATTTTTTAATTTGAAGGTTGAAACGAGAAAGATCAAAATAGTCTCCGAGATGTACCGAACTTAAGTCGGTAAAATGCTATCAATAGACCAGAGCACCGGATTGTTGAATTGCTGTAGCCTGTAGCCGCTGTGACCGGAGTGATATTGACTAATGAATAATAGTGTGAAATGCTAGTCTTTTCTATTTAGTCTTGTCTACGAATTTATAAAAAAATAGGAACTTGTCAAAATATATTCTAACAAATGCACCCCAAGTTCAAACATCAATGGCCCACTATGTTTATCTTTATCTTTATAATTCTTTGATTTAAAAACTGGATCGGATCAGCCAGTTCGACCAAGACCCATCAGCTTCTCTAATTCGGGTCAGGTCTTTGGGTCGGTTCGGATTGGTTTTTGTTAATTTTAAAATTTTTATTGAGAAAGATAATTATTAAATATTTTAAGATAAATAAAATATGATTAGATTTTAAAAATATTAAAACAAACATATTTTTTTTATTTTTTAGGATAGAATAATAGAATAAAATATTATGAGAATAATTAAATAAACCAATCCATAATATATAATTTTTCAACAAGGCGATGATAAGCCACATTGATGTGCTGAAGCCTGAAGCTAAATAAAAGGATTCAGACTTGCCCAAAATTGCATAGATAAAATACAGAATGTTTTTATCCATGTTAAAAGCTTGAACTCAATTAATCAACAACATATTTATTTTCTAAAACGGTTGATTCTTTTATGTTATATGGCCTTTCTCATATTTAATTCCAAGATTCGAGTTTTCTTTGTTCAAAATCTCATCTCCATCATGGCCTTTTCTTTGTTTGACAGCCTCCCCATTAGCCCATAAGGTTTTGTCGTTAAATGGCCCGTTAGCCCACAAGGTCTCATATGGTTGAATGGGCCATTAGCTCATGAGGTCTTCTTATAGAGTGTTATTATTTAAGCCCCCACATAAACTCTATTTGACCCCATTAAAACACTATTGTACATACAAAATTACTACAAAAAAGTTTGAGTGAGGTCTTCTTATAATTTTGATTTTGGTTTAGAATTTTGGTGTTTAACTCTTATGCAAGGTATTCTTCCAAGATA